GATAGACAAAAGTACATAAGCAGTTGCCAAAAACCCAAGTCTATCACTGTCAAACAGCAGGCAATCCAGTTTTTCGCATGCCAGAAAGATTTCCATTTTCCACCTCTCTCCGTATTTTTATCTAAAGATAACATTGTATGAGGGAAGCAATTTGAGTTCACATCAGTAAACACAGAAACACAAAGAAATAGTGGTTCTTCTGCTGAACTAATGAGACTATTACTGAAATATCCCACTAATTTAAGCACAGGAGGGCAATGACCTTACAAACTCTCATATTTAAGCCACAACATCCTTCCCTGAGCAATCAAAGATATTTTTACATGGTTTCAAGATGGCGCCTCCAGAAAACTCATCCCAGTTATGAAGGAGTCAGAGCTGATGTGAATGCACCAAGCATTTCAAAGGTAGACCCACAGATATAGTAGCAACTATGAGGGAGCTCAGGCCATGCCAACAACACAGATACGTCAGTAAGTACTAGTCTAAGCTAGAAAGCGGAGACTTCAGCATACAGAATTACCTAATTAAAAGGTGGAAGACCAAGTCTTGATCCCATTAAGAATAGCTGTGTAAGTGGCTACACAGGTTATAAGACTGGCACTAACGAAGATTAGATCACAAGGAGACAAGATTTTTCCCTAGACCAAAATGAAGCTGTAATGGAAAATGGATTTGAGAACATTTATCCTTCTTACTTCAAAAACTAACAGATGGAATAATAACATTAGGAAATGAGTAAACAACTTTATGCCTTTTCTCCAAACAGCATTTCATATGCTATGCTACTACTATTACGTAGATGAAGATGACCTGTACAATACATGCTTAGGACATAAAGAAAAGTGAAAGAGATCGAACCAAATGCCCTTAATTCAAAGCAGAAAATAATTTTGGAGGACAGGAACAAATCACTGTTTCTAGGTTCAGATCCACTAATATCACCACAGAACTTCCTAGATACTAAGACAACTATCCAATCTCTGTGGGAACTGATTTTTATTAACTGCCTATTCTACAGAAAAAAAAATAATTGATTTGAAAAATATTGAAAAATGTTTTCTAAGTGGTAACAGAGAAAGCAAGCAATACAGGAAGAAAGGGTCACTTAATCCTTAGGGAAAAAATTACAGAGGTCAATCTACAGCTTGTACAGGATACTAGGATTGTAAAGATTTCTTTTGTGTTTGGCACATGGAAAAATCAAGATTCACTAACGTTATCTTTGTATGTCAAAGAAGTTTGGTAAGTCTCTTGTGCCCCTACTCTGGTACTCACCATAGCCTCTGCAAACATACTTGGAAACCCTGAAACACTTTACTCCTATGACGGACGGTTTTCTCACAGTCTGTTGACAGAAACCACTAATTGCCATGGTAAATTAAACAGATAAAGATACCTTGGATTTCTAAATGAGAAAACAGCAAACCTCAGAGCAACCAAAACTGACAGTAGAAAAAACTGCCTATCACTTCTGGAAAAAAGCCAAACATTGAGTAAGAACCAGGTCTCTTTAAGGGCACAACATTATCTTTTTTTTATTATTATTACAGACTGCATACTCGAGTGGAGACACAGTATGTTTGCCCCTTGATAGGACAGATTTGATTCATGCAAAGGAACAGCTGAGAAGGCTCACGTACAGCAGCAGTCCAGGGAAAAAAAAAAAACACAGAGGGATGTGTGCATATGCATATGTAGGCATGAATTTGTGCATGGGAAAGTCAGGAGAAAGCTCACTGTTACACAGGGAAAGAACCCATCAGGACAGGAACTTTTTTTTGTCCTCTGTGTTTGAGAAGAAGGAATCCCAAGCAAGAAGCCCGAAATCAAAAATACTGAAGAGAATTTGACAGTGTCTTGAGCTAAGAAACAAATAATATTCTACAGTGTTGCATTTCAGTTGCACTCGCCTTCTCAGACTCTACTGTACAAGAATGAGCGATATGTTAACAATCAGCATGTTTGAAGACCCACAAAAATAAACTGAATTCTCAGAGGAATAGTTCCAGCTGGCAGATGTCCACATACATAAAGGTATTCGTACTACTGGAGAGTGAAAGGGGTTAGCGTGAGCCATCAAAGACTCCGGCGCTTTGGGCTGAGGGATACACATTCTCCAACAAGACTTATCTTCCACCATTGAATTACAGAAAAGGGCAAGAGTTCATTCAGACCTCAGGTGTAACTGGCAATCTGCCACCACCTGTCATAGTCCTGTGGGCACCATGAGGCCCCAACTGACCCGACCAGCCTCAGCTGCTATCTCCACCAGCCTCCTCTAGGCCAGGAGCTCCAGTTAAGCCCAGGCCTGTGTCCCCAGGCCTGCCCTGAGCTTAAACACCATGCCTCCAGCCCTGTACTCATCTCCAGGATAGACCTCAGACCTGTGTTACGTGTAGCCTTCTCCCCATTCCTGTCTCCAGCTCATTTCCTTTTCTTCCTGACAGGAACCCCTGGACAAGACCCAGGCCCTGGTTGATCATCTGTCATGGGACCTACCACCACCCCCCAGTTTTGCCCACCGTGCTCAGGCCGTACCACTGGTGCGGGCACTGCCTCTGCTGGTGGCACCCTTGGGTCCCTCCTGGTCCTCCCTCAAGGAGCTGCCCTGCTCGTGCTGCTCCCGCACACTATCGCTCAACAGCAACAGGCAAATACACTTCCAAAGAGGAAATCACTATTTTTAACTAAGTATTTCTTACTATTTTTAGACCTTCTAGTCTGATCCAAATTTATCTCTCAATGAAGAGCACTGTACCAAAAACTAATCTTCGAAGCCTTCTCCAGTCATTACACAGAAAAAACAGCTCAGATCAAATGTGGTGTTGGTACTAAAAATTGCCATAGCCAGACTACTAAGGCAAAGCTGATAAAACAAACACAGTCAAGTCACAATAAGTAATACTCACTATGTCTTATTCTTCACTGATTCTATTTTTACATTTGCAGAAACTGCTGAGCACTGCTGCTTTCCAAAGCTAAGCTTTAGTTTTTAAATCCAGAATAGTAACCAAAAAAGTCATCTGTAATACACAGGTGGAGAGACTGGGGCGGGGATAGGGGAAGAGAAGGACAGGAAAACACCATAACCTGTATTTCAAGAAAGACAGGATTCCTTGAGCGTGCAATATCACACCGAATGGGACATTAGTTAATTTAGATGTCTTACACAACTGACTTGTTTGTTAGAGGTTTTCAGAATACTCTGGTCTTACAAAGTCATATTTGACTCTATTCTCCATGAAATACATAGATTTTTGTGGTTTCTAGTACTTTTTAGATTATCCTATGGTATAAAATACATATTCTTGATACATATTAAGAACATCAATAACTACTAAGCAAAGTAATTTGTGTTTGTAAACTATCAGGTTCTAAATAAAAGGCTTTCCAAAGGTAACATATTAGAGAGATGTTAACTGTCTGTAATTTGATCAACTTTGAAAAAAATTTCTTTAAACCCAGTATGAAAATACATACATTCAAAATAAGAATGTATTCAAAGGGCTGTTACTCTCATCAGCCACCTACTGCCAAGTGTACCCTGCTTGTATTAACCTCCATAATTAGGCTAGTAATAACCTGGTATTGGAAACAGCAATACATTCTACCATCTTAAATGCACTACTACAAATCAAAAGACATGTAAACACGACCATGGCTCAATCAGTTTGCATCCCTGAAACATTTACAACTAGAAAGATAATACCACATTAGATTGTGATAAATATTAACGGAAAAGAAAATATTATACCACCTGAAAATTAGACGCAATCAAATGTAAAAAGAATACTTTGCTTATTTTTAATCATTAAAATGATTTTAATCACATGGGCACAAACAAGATGTGGACAGGAAAGATAATAAGGGAAAAAAATTAGATCACTTAAAGTAACTGCACCAAAAGAGCTCCTATCCAGACTTCAGAAACAACCAATAGATGAAACTGCAGTTTGAAAAGGTATTCTAATTCAGCAATATGACAAAATGTCAGCCAGATGATTACCAGAAGTCAGAGGAAAAAAAAGTAACTACAGTAAGCCTTGAACTGGTATTCTGACCTAAACAGCACACTAGGTTCTACAGCAAATTATGAAGGCAAGATTACTTACAGACAAGGAAGTAAGAAAGGGAATAGCAGCAAAACTCTTTTACAAAACACGAGGTTTTTTGCCACTTTTTTTTTTTTTCCTCTAGGCAGTCAGTTCACACCTACGTGGGATGCCTAGGGCAATGCATTTTATATTTTACCACCTGGGAACTTACTGTATAAGCTGGAGAAGATGGGAAAATCACAAAAGGACTTGCATGGGCTTTTTTGTTTATTTCGTTTTTTTTTACGAAACTGAGCAAATGGGAGATGACCAAGTGGATTGAAGAAAAAGAAAGCACCGAGGGAAGGAAAATTAAAATAGAATTCCTCAAAGCAGAAACGCAGAACAGAAAAACGCTTGCAGTCTTATGGAGAAATGGGCATCCAGATTTGCTTGATAGACAGAGGGTAGCTTATTCAAACAAAGAAAAGGCTGAAATATAAGCATGATAACTTTTTACAAACATATTAGAGGGGCAAGAAGCAAATAACTATATAATTTAGCCATCAAAACACCTGGGCTGACAATCAGGTGTTTACAGATCTTAATTATATTCACAGATCTTAATGAGTTACTAACCACGTTCCACAACTTCCTTCTTAGAATGCAAAAGAGCACAAGAAAAAACAACTCTAAATACCTTTTTCTTCTCCAATTTTTTTAGGACTTTCACTTTAGAGATAGAGTTAGATGAATGTACAAAGAGGACTGCATGACTGTATGTAGCGCTGGAGCAGCGGAAATCTTCTACCCCAAAAAGTAGGAATCTGTTTTCCAGAAAGAATGCCATCTAAAATCTTTTACCATTTAAAAGTGGTCATTCTGCTCCTTCTGTGTAACTTGGGAGTAATATACCAGGCCTGTAGAAAGAGATAAACTTTCATAAGTTTGGAAAATTCTTACCCTGTATTGATGGAAATTATTTCTATCAGTGGATTCTTCCTAATCTTTGGCAAATCCAGTCGTGCTCCCCCCAAACGTTTTCCATTATCCTTCTTCTGACCCAGCAGTCTCACAGAATGACCTTCAAATGAAGCACAAAAATATAATTAAGACAAAGCACAAGTCTCATCATATTTGTTATGATTTTCTCTTCCTCACAAGTAGTGTTATACTTCAAAGATTAAAAATGAGAATGAGATGTAACAATTTATTTCTACCAGGTGGAGCATTTAAAAAGAGACACTAACAGGTAAAATAAATCATGTTAAAATGAACGAGTTATTTCATCCAATTATCTTTTCACACTTGCATTTTCTGGTTTACTCAATTAAAATGATCTAAGTAGTTTCATTTACAGATTCTCAAACAAGTATCAACAAAGCAATACTTAAGTCGTATGGCAGGTTTAAAATATTTTTCCACAAAATTTCATTCAAACCTAAATCAGTAGGTAACAAAGTACTAAATATTTTTAGCTTATTAGATGGAGAACCAGTACATTTCAGTCAAAGTTACATGACTGTGTAAGTCTGAGGGAAAGTGCTGTGAAGCACATCCTGATAGCAAGTTCGGGGCTAAGCTGACTCCCAAGATTTATGCATATTCCTCCCACATCCAGGAGACTGCAGGTCAGAAAACTGCCTCACAACTCCTTTCCTGAGCCAGCAATATTCAGAGAGTAAAACACAAATACTATCACCAGCTGCCTAGGACAGTACATCAGTCATACCACGTCAAGTCCAGAAGCAAGATCTAACAATGAAGAATAAAAACAATTAAGTATATATTATTGCAGCAGGCAGTGTAAAACGTGACCGATTTATAAACTTTTAAGACTTGTATCATTTATTCTGTAAAGCCTAAAATAGGCAGAGAAGAGACAGCACGGGAAGGCTAACGCTAAGTACCCGAAAAGAGGTGGAAATTAACCACTACTTGGAGTGGAGGAAAGAGGGAAAGCTTGTATCTGCTGAAGTCAGAAAACTCTGATAGTACACGAAACTAGAGCTACAATCTGTCAGATACTTCAGGAAACACAAAAAATCTACCTTAAAAAGGAAAAGGGCAGGGGAAGAAAGGAAAGCATGAAGCTATGAAGTGCTGCCTGAGCTACATCTAGCACAGCAGAGTAGATAACCAGTTCAGATCAATTAGAAGTCATGTTCAGCCAAATCTCCTAACTTTAATTACCAACAGCTATTTACAAAACTAATTCATCCATCAGTTAAACTATTTCTCCACTACCTGTTTTGAAATGTCATTTATTAATTTTTTTAGTAATGCACCATTCATACTCTGAATTTACTTGTGATACAGCAACAACAGCCCAGAAATCAACAACTACTTCTGGCATACCATCTTTCTCAGGCTTTTTAAGATATATGAAAATTCTCAAAAATGTGAACTCATGAAGAAGTGAGCAGGACTGGCCTGATATCATAACAGTTAATAGTAAAAGGAGACATCATAACGTCAACAGGAATTAAAAGGCATTATTTTTGTAGTTGCATTTGACAAAAATTTGATTACATCCTGCTGTGAATTTAGTAATATGGTAGTTGTACTATTAACATTTGCTAAATCATTCTGTTCTACCTTTTCATGACGATAACAGCAATACCTTTGTCTCACAATAGAATCAGTTATTTGCCAATGTGGTACTTCATTAAGGAGTTGCAAGCATGGCACCATTTTATTTACTTGTATAACAAGAGTGATTGCATTATGGTAGGCATAAAAATTAAGCCACAAGCAAAGAAGAATCCTTTTTTGCATTTCCTAATACTGTGGTTTATTTGGAATAAATTGTTTTATCCATTTTTTTAATTTTCAATTGCATTACCGTATTAAAACTGTATTTGGATTTATGGCTGAAAATATAGTGGAATGTTTTACAGTTTTCTTAACACCATCCTAACAACATAACAACAAGCTACCCAAAATTTAAAATTCATACATTTAGCATCGGTGTCAAACCACCATTCTGAAGTTTAAAAAAATGAAACAAAACCACCAAGCCACAAAACCTGTCCCCCCAACCAGTAACATCTCGGAGTGCAGAATCGGTGAGGTGCGAGCTCCTCTGAACACGCATCCTCGCAACAAACAGCATGAGCTCTCCCTTTCTCATACTGGGAGCATTCATCAGAGGCAAACATTTTCACGGAACTTCTGGAAAAAGAATATCTTTAAGACTACAAAACAAATCTGTTTGAAATTTGTCAAAAGTCTAAAAAATAGTAAAAAGGGAGGGAAATGGAGATAATGACAGACTTGTGCAGGAGGCACAACTTTATAATCCATGTTTTCTTAGGAAAACAGGGAAAAAACATAACACTACGGTAGTCGACAAAATCTTGCTAACCGTAAGTACTATTTCTACCTTTCTCACAGAGTTTGTCTTTCAGATGCTAGGCAGGTTACCACATACATTGCAGGGGGTGGAAGAACTTAGGACACTTGCACATATAATATAACTTGCTAGGGAGCGTAAAACCTAGCCTCTCTTACCCTCAGAGACTTTCTCAATTCAGGAAAGAAACCCCAGCTCTGTGACCACCTCCCACGTGATCTACTGAACGCTAACGGCCACCCCAACCTCGTGCCCGAGCTCGGGAAATCTCTGGCCTGGCAATCAAATACGGCAGCTTATTTTCACGTGACGTATGGCCACAGTTTTCCCCACATTCCTACTGAACAACACTAAAGCTCCAGTTAGTATGAGGCTTGCAAGACCTGTGTGGCACTCAGGAATGACAATATCCCTGTACTTTTTAACTTCAGACACCAGAGGCTAAAAAAAAGCAGTAGGGAGACGAGTTTTAGCAGAGTTTAATGTTTAATGCTTCCAGAAAGCAAGCAGCACATGCATATCCAGCTATAGTGATTTGTGTGTGCTGCAGGCACACTTAAGAACTCCATTTAAAAAAAGAAAAAAGCAAAAAGAAAAATAAGGAAAAAAAAAGAAAAAAGCCCTCAGTTACAGTATTTGTGACCTTAAATCCCTACCCCATACAAGGATTATTTTGTTTCATTTTAAGTAATCACTAAAGCATCTGTTTACAGCATTGTTGCTATTAATAAAACGTAACTTGACAAACACTGAATCATACTTTTTCACATCCTGTAGATCTTTTTTTCCCCACACTTATTTCAAGAAAACTTAAATATTTTGTTGTCTTCAATACGAAAAAGGCTAAGTAAGTTTTTCTTTAAACTGCCTAAGCAGCATTACTAAGCCCACACCAACATCAAGCATAACAGCGAAAGCAGTAATTTTAAATCTTGTTTATGATCTCCTTTCCAAGCTTAGAATGGGGCAAAATATTGCAATCAAGTTTTACTTCTAAAGCATTTTATCTGATTAAGTTACCTTCTCTCTCACTTTACAGGCTGGATAACAACTTAACTAAGCAAAACATGTGTCCCAAACTTGAAAGTAGTCTTTTGTTTGTTTGCTTGTTTTCTTTCCCTTTTTTTAAGTTTGGTACAAAAACATTCTTGAAAACTGAGTTAACCGCAGTTACACTTCCATTGCAATGAGTGCTCTATCACAGAACCATAGAACTGTTTGAATTGGAAGGTCATCTAGCCCACCCCTCCCCGCAATGAGCAGGGACATCTTTAACTACACCAGGTAGCTCAGAGACACGTCCAGCCTGGCCTTGAATGCTTCCAGGGATGGGGCATCTCCCACCTCTCTGGGCAGCCTGTTCCAGTGTTTCACCACCCTCACTGTAAAGAATTTCTCCCTTAGATCCAGTTCAAATCTACCCTCTTTTAGTTTAAAGCTATTATCTGTTGTCCCATCTCAGATATCACATGAAAACTACTCCTTTTTTGATGGCTCACTGGAAGATGCAAGCTTTGAAATACAGCTTAATGACAAACAGATCTAGTCAGGTTGTATCTGAGAGTCTAAACATTCTAGTCCTATCAACCTCTTCTGCCATAAAGGTAAATTTTCTACTTCCACACAGTCCACCAGCAGATAAAATTCTATTAAACTGAGAAGGCTAATTAGCAGTTTATGTCATACTTTAGAGCAGCTTTTCACCAATTAATAGATAATTAACCAAGACCAGTGAGGAAGCTTATAAAGCAGAATCACTCACAGCAAGTGTAAATGAAATCAAGACAGAAACAATTTCAAATGAATCAGAGCTCTGTAGTTTTCAGTACTGGCTTTTGAAAATTAAACTCATCTTTACATGCAAGTCAGTAGATGCAATTCACATTACTTGGCATTGTTTGCAGAGAGGATGAGGTTGGAATGAATTAATCAGGACATTAAATCCTATTGTTAGTCTAAAAAATGGCTTTCATATGTGTCAGTTTGATAAACCAGTGTGCAGAATTAAAATATTTTCAAGGCATTTTCACTTGTTAAAAAGGATACAAAAAAGCAACATAATATTAATAGCATGTACATATACCTTTAATAGATGTACGTGCTTCAGGAGCGCGACAGAGAATGCCTGATCTTGAAATGTAAATACATGAAGGGAACTGGTAATAGAATTTCTTTGCTGCAAGGTTACAACAACATTAAATGTGCTGTGAACCCCAGGCTATTGTCAGACCCCTGTGACCTAGACCCACAGAAGCACGTTAATGATATTAGAGCAAACAGATTTAATTTGGACTGGTATTTTGCTAGCTTGATACAAGGATAAGCGAGGGGGAGGTGGCCTGGCTTAGTCATCTTCAGCTAACTTTAACAACTGCCTATCAGTGTTGTAAATGCCTAACAGACATTAATCGACCCACTGTATTTCAGAAATAGCCAGCTTCACTCAGTCCACAGGCTGGCACCCCTCAGCAGCTGCTGGGAAATAACGTCTGCTTCAAAGATGCAAGAGGGCATCCACTGAGGGTCCCTCCCCACCACCGCACATCTCGCTGGAGCTACGCAGCACGCCACTGAAACACCCCTGCCAGCCAGACACACAGCCGTGTTTCTCAGCTGTTAGCTTCAAAGTTCAGTGCAGGTATCTCAAGCAGCTCAAAAACATGAGCTTAAAGAAAATCCTCAAAGATGCAGGAAATCCCAGCCTTGGCAGCAACAATTTCTATTGTTTT